AGGAAATAGTGAAAGAGAGGAAAGGTTAAGGAATTATAAAGTGAAAAAAAATGATAAAAAGGACAAATAATCACAACATTTTACACATATGCATATAGGTAAATGGGTGCAAGCATGCACATATACACTATAAAAAATAACTTGCACCAATGAACAGTGCATATAAAAAGAAAAATCAAGACGTATAAAAGTCTGTCTATATTTCTGAGATGAGTATTATGTACATTATTTACATTATTTGACTATTGTCCTCATCTTTGTCACCGTATTTATCACAATGTTTCCAGTTGTTTCTGGCTTTTCAGGTGGTTGGAATTTCAAACTGAACCCTTTATTTCGCTTCCACTGGGTAGACTGTTCTAGTTCCACGTGCCATGTTTGATGGATGTCAGTTATCAGTTATCTCCTGCTAATTTCCCTCTGAAAGTTCTCTACTGCCTTAACCGGGTATTGAACTCACACTCTTTGGGTCCTGTCACTGGATGTAACCAATGCCTTTATCCACTGTGCCATGTGTCCTCAAGGATCCAGTGACAGGACCCAAAGAGTGTGAGTTCAATAACCCGGTTAAGGCAGTGGAGAACTTTCAGAGGGAAATTAGCAGGAGATAACTGATAACTGACATCCATCAAACATGGCACGTGGAACTAGAACAGTCTACCCAGTGAGCGAAATAAAGGGTTCAGTTCGAAATTCCAACCACCTGAAGGCGGCCAGAGCATAGAACAGCCGAAACGTTGTGATAAATATGGCGACAAAGATGAGGACAATAGTCCAAATAATGTAAATAATGTACAAGACGTATAAGCAGTCAATTGCTGATACTCCCTGAATAGTAAACAGAGTGATTCCTAGGTCTGTAGCTTTGGTTTAAAATTTGCCACAAGAATACATAAAGGAAGCATAGTAGACATGATAATAAAAAATCATTAGCAAAATGACTGAATTTATCAAAGGTTTCATTGAAAATATAATCACTGCTACTATAGAAATCAACAATGAAAATACATTACCCAGGGACACCTAAATGCACTAATTAACCTAGCAAAAAATAAGGAAATCTATATCATTCGTCTGACAAGGGAGATGGGATTGTGATCATGAACAAGAACATATATGTAGAAAATATATATCTACAATATAGTATATATATATATATATATATATATATATATATATATATATATATATAAAAAAAAAAGCTGATCATGTGGAGACTAAGCAACCATTCTTACTCATAGAAGACTGCACAGATTTAATAAATATGGGCTTCCAAATGGTAATCTGATTGTGAATAGCTGAAAACAGAAAACATATCTGCAAAACAGGCCAACGAACACTGCTAATTATTTATCAAGTGTTCTGCTATCACAGATCCAGATGTGTTCATGCATTTATACAAATTCTGAAAAGGACCTTTATGAATAACATGTGTTATTTCATTCTCTTCTATAATACTACCTATATAATCAGCATTGCATTGATTTTTAAACTGATAAATAGAAAACTGATTATAATGAACAGGTAAACCATCTTTATGGATGAATTTCAACATTGGTTGAGAAGAGAAGACAATACGCAAATTGGTAACTCATTAATACGAGTTGAGATTTTTTTTTAACAAACCTTGTACTAACCTTGCAAATACACAGGAGATTTATTGGGACAAAGCAATTTAGGTTTTTAAATTGTGCAATTTTTGCATGGATACTAGATTTCATTTCATTTCTCCACATCAAGAGGGTAGTCCAACTGTAAAATTATATATAAATTTTAAAGTTGACACTGGTCAACACAATTTCCAGGCCACATGTGCTGGGTTTTGGTTTAATTATTTATATATGCTGGTCAATAGTGCAACAGTTGTAGGATATAGACCTTGCTACCCATAATGCACTATAGATCAACATATATGAATAGTTGAGCCAAAACACAACACACATGTCTTGAAGATTGTGTTCAAGCATGAAACTGACTTTTACCACTTGGTGTTGACCTCAGTGTCCACATTTATATTTACATATGCTCTATCCTTGATATTGAGCACTTTTACCCATAAATATAGCATACCTTAAAACTATATTTTTATCATATTACAAGTTGAGAATTTTTTTTATCTGAATTTCTTGGGACCAGAAGTGCTTTGATTTTCATATTTTTTCTGATTTTGGAATACAGGCTATTTACTTCGTATATAGCATCTATAAAATGTGGTAACTTGTGAATGAAACCCAAGCATAAACACAATATCCCTTTAGATTTCATAACACAGCTTATACACTGAAGTTAGTTTTATATAAACAACATATACCCTGAAAGTAGTTTTATATAAAATTTAATAAATTTTGTGTACATACAGATACAGGTAATGGTGCTAGTCATGTAATGCTCACATGGAATTCGAAGTGGTAAAATTAAGATTTTATTTAAAAATTTTGTACTTTCTGCACGTGTACAAAAATATATATATATATATATATATATAAATGCAGGACTTTTTTAATATCCTTACAGAGCACAAAACACCTGTTAAATAAACTATGAATGAAGGTGTTGCTGAGGATTGCTAACAAAAAAAACTGGTGGAGATGTAGCTGGGCTGGAGAACCCCCACCCAGAGCAGATGCAGTCACTTACAAAAGCTGCACATCACCTAGGAACCTTCCCAGTACTTTCTGAAATTTTCTATTTGTGGCAAATCATGTCAGCATCTGGAAAAACTCACATTTTGGAGGTTTGCAGATTTGGGATTTACAGATAAAGAATACTAACCTCTCTCTCTCTCTCTATATATATATATATATATATATATATATATATATATATATATATATATATAAATTTACAGTTGGACTAATGTTTTTATCTTTGTTATTGTTGTGCTCTCCAGCCTTCTTCTGGTGCCATTTATCTGAGTAATCTTCATGAAAGTTTGAACTGACCCCTACAGGGATAGCTTGCTCTTATTCTACTGTTTGTGCCTAGATGTCATCAAGTACAGACTAAGACCAAGTGGAAAACAGGACTAGTAATAACCAAACAGTACTAAAAAAAAGACACCTCTGAACATTGGACCAAGAACATTCTACGCTTGGAGATTAATTAAAGTGTTCGTTTTGAAATAACTGAAGAAGAGTGGAGGGTACAATGGCTGAAATGTTGCTAAAATAACAACAAAGATAAGGACATTAGTCCAGCTATAAATAATGATAACTCCTCATTCCATAAATTGAGACATATAGAAGGTGTATCAAAAATACTTTTACAAAGTTTGAGGTGGTTGGAGTGGGTTCTTTGCACAAAAACAAGGATAAAAGTCCATATAAACACGTTTGCAAATCCTCCTTTTTTTGAGTTATTAAGTTTAAAGAAAGTTTAGAGTAAATAGTGCTGTGTTGCCATGTAGACTAGATTACATTTGATTGTTCATTTGTGGCTAGTCTGTCTTCAACACTTAACATGTGTAATAGTGAGTTAACTGAGAAGTGTCCCATTTAACAATTTAAAGATATTCATATTGTGAGCAGATAGATATGATTTTTACATACGGCCACATGAATGATAAATGGATGTGAATCTGTATTAAAATGCGTTTCCAGATTGAAGGCAGCTGAGTCATCCAACATTTGCTGCTGTTTATCGTCAACAGGATCCATGGCACCACAAACTATGGATCGATGAAGACCGAGATCCACTAATACACCTGACCATGAAAAGCACATACAAGCTAAACTTTAAACTTAATAACCCAAAAAAAAAAAAAAAAAAAAAAAAAAAAAAAAAAAAAGGATTTGTAGACATATGCTTATACAGACTTTTGTTCTTGTTTTGATGTGAGGAACCTGCCCCCAAAGTTTGTAAAAGTATTTTTGATACACCTTGTATAACACAGTACAGCAAGTTTCTCTTTGCCCTTTTGAAGAATGCACATCTTATTGCCTACTCCTCCAAAAGGACAAATAAAATCTTGCTGGGCTGGGACACACTCTGTGGTTGAGCAGTCTAAAGCATTGTGGATCATATATATATAGGCTAAGCAGTAGGACACATATTTACATTTTGCTCTATCCCAGATATTGAGCACTGTTGCCCCATAAATATAGCATACAATAAAACTATATGTAATGTGTGTGACTTTTTCTAGGCACCTCATACTTGTGGCCTTGTGCCAAACATAATCACTGCTGAGTAACTATGACCGTCTTCTCTCATTTAGACGCACGCTTCAAATCAGAAACCTTTTTCCTTTTTTTCTCTTAGCTTCTCCCTCTTGTGTTGAGAAAACGCACACCCTCCCTCTTCTCTACTCCCTGTGTAGTGTCCAGATGCATGGACATTCAGAATGACCCACCTACTCAGCTTTTCACATGTTTTTATTCCCGAGCAAAATTGAAGTAGTGAGGACTACTGTCCGTGTGTGGCAGACATTTTATACACTTGGGAACTTGTCAGTTAATGAATTGTTGTTGTTATAGTCTACCCGACGAGGCTACCGACTAATAATATGATCGGTAGGTATCGAAGATGACTGTTTTCGATAGTGTCCATGATGTGCGAGCCGCTAGTATGGTCGGTCTCTATCAATAAGATTAGAACATTTCATTTTTACAACTGCTATGGCCATTCATAACATACGGATATCAGTGAATGACAGAAAAAGTTGATCGAGAAACGAAGGAAGAAATTAATGAACGAAAATAAACCAAATAATAAATGGACTAGGTAGGGGCAACGGAGAAAAGAAAAAAAGAAAGAAAACTTTATTAACTTAAATAAATCAACTTCTCTCTGTCGGATTTGTGCACCAAGGATTATTGTTTTAATTTCTTAATCGTCAACGGAGGTGAAATTTTCTGCCATTATCGATCGGAGATTTTTTTTTAAATTATCACATCGGAAAGTCAGTTTTTAAAATATTCAGTGTCTTTATTAAAAAATAAATAAATAACAGTTCAGTTAATTTTTTTTGTATTTTATGGTCCTAAAAATTGAAGGTGTAAATGGATGCAGAGACCTCAGTGATGTCTGTACAGCCAAATGAGCCGCCTTCCACACCGCAACAACAAAACCTTCTTCTCTCGTGTAACATGTGCAATGAACAGTTTCAGTCACCCAGGGCGTTGCCTTGCCTACACACTTATTGTAAAACCTGTTTGAGTTCTTATATTCAAACAAAACTCTCTGAGCTTGACACGGACTCCTTCCCGTGCCCAGATTGCAACGAGGATACGCAGCCGATAGACCCATCGAGGCCCTCTACTGAATGGGCAGACGGATTTCCCGAAAATTTCTTCCTCGCAGATATGATGGCCCTACAGACAGGTAAAACAGATATAGTCGGCGAGATGGTGGAAAACAACACATCTGCTGCGACAGCGATTTCTAAAATTACCCTGAAAAAGTCGAAACGGATGAGTTTAAGCGAGTCCGACCTCTTACGTAATGGAGCCGATCCGATGGGCATTCGCCAAGAGATTATTGTTATGAAGACAGAAAAAGTCGTCCAATCTCCAAAAAAGCAGACAGAAGACACTGCAGCTCCACTACCAGCTAAACTCCCAGTTTTAAAACAAAAACCCGAAGAAAATAAAGTATCTGATAATTTTGAAAATGGATTGAATCTACTACTGTTACCATTAAAATATACATTTTCTGCGATTATTCCTGGGTCCGAGTTAGTTTCGATGTTAGAAAGTGCCCTACTCATGCCAGAAGGATTTGTACTTGGAATTGATGGTAAGAATCGACACGTGAAAAAGTTTACATTGACCGGTAAACTCGTTGGTTTTCTCCGTCTTATATCCGAACCAAGTGATATAACTTTATTACCTGAAGGCGAAGCTTTGTTGACTCTACCCCAGAAATGTGAGATGATTTCTCTGGATCCGGATAATTCTTTGGAGATTACGAACCGACTGCAAACTCCCCGGAAGTACATGAGACTAGCGGCTGGACAGAATGAGCGCATAGCTGCCACCAACTGTGTCGATAATGTCTGGTTTGTTGATATCCTCTCCTATCATGGCCGGGTCCTCTATTCAATCCAGCGCTTGTGCTGTGGTCAGCCGGCCGGTATAACTGTTTCTCCATCAAGTGACATTATCATCACAGATTGTATTGAACGTTCGGTGATTGCTTTCCATTGGAATGGAAGTAATAATTTCCTCTACAAACCAGAATCTAGTGAAAGCGATGAAAGTTTGAAAGAACCACGAGGAGTGTGCTGTGATCCGAATGGTCGTATTTACTTGGCGGATACAAAAAATGACCGTATTATTTGCCTTACCTACGATGGTCATGCCGAAAGGATTCTCTTGGATAGAGCGGATGGACTATACCGACCTTCAAGTATTTTTATTAGCCCTGATTTTCTATTGTTGGTCACCCAAGAGGATGGAGTTGTTAAGATTTACAAAATTTAAACGAAAGGAGAGAAAAAAATGTATTATTACAAAAGAAAAAAAAAGAGCAAAGGAAAAAATTAAATTGAAAAATTATTTTATAATTTAATTATTTACCAACTAAAAAGTAAAAACGAAATACGTTTTTTTTTTATTCTATTTTTTTTTTATGTTTGTTTTTGGTTTTATTTCTCATCATTTCCATTGTATGTTTTTCATAAACTTAGTAATTTTCTCTCACTGTTTTAAAAACTGCTTTTTAATTTTTTTATATTTCATTTTCCTCCAAATGCTTTTCATTTTCATAATGAATGTAAAATTTTAAAAATGCTTTTAAATTTTCTTTCGGATTTTATTCTTGGCTGAACCTATTTTTTCTATTTCTGTAAAAAAAAAAAAAAATTAAAAAAAAACCTTTATTTTTATAATTGTCTCGGATCCGACTACTTCTGTAACTCAAAAGTTCTTTAAAAATAATAACTTATCACTCGGCAGCTTGCTTTTGAAAATATTTTTTTTTTTAAATCAACAATAGTTCAAGGAAAATAGATAAAAATGGTTTTTGTTGCATATTGAATCAGAATATTATTCGATTATCATGATTTTTTTTAACCTTTTCTAAAATTGCATTGGTCCTTCCTGATTTTCTTAAAAATTATTAAGCTCTCAAGTATTAAAAAAAAAGAAAAAGATAATAGTTTGCAATCGGTGACTCCCACAAAAACTGGTTACTTTAAGGACCTATAAAAGTTGAACGGATCTCATATGAGCCAATGCCGCAATTTCCCTAAAAAAATTGATCATCTGTTCTTTTTTTTTTTTTGTTGCGCTATTACACTTTCGCAACCCGGTTGCTTACTGTCATTCAGTAATGAATTGCCCCAGGTACGACAGTCTGGAGACTGTTCTGTTTGTTAATTATAATATGTAAATTCAAATATATATCTGGAAAAAAACAAAAACAAATCAATATTTGTAAAACGGTAACCCTAACCAAGGGGGGTGCGAAAGTGTAATAGCGCCCTTTTTATAGTTCAAACCATTTTGTTTTATAAATTTAAAATAATGAAGGCAAACTTAAAAAAAGAAAAGACACACTTTGAAAAAATCAAAATATCAATAATAAATGTCGAGTTTTAAAAGAAATCTAATTCTATGTTAAGTCAATAAAAAACCAATAAATCACGTTTGTAAGTGTCGTGTCAAAGGTTACCTTAAAAATGCGTGTTCATACTTTAGGTTAAAATGGGTTTTAAATTAGTAAAGTAAAATTTGTCTAACTTAAGACTAAACACTTTTAATTTTTTTTTTTTTTAAAATAAATGTAAAAGTTTTGCTTCTTCTATTGTTATTTTACAAACAAGTTTACAAAGTTTGAAGACATCGCATCCACGTCACTGTGGGGTGGGTTTCAGCAACCCCCACGCTTTTTTGCTGAAACTGAGTACGACACACATGATGATTGTACTTGTCCCCAGTCTGTGTGACAAATGCTGTTGACCTGAGCTGTATCATTTGTCTAAAATGCCATTAATTTTCAAAATAAATCAAAACTTCATTTTCGGTATTTTTTTCGAAACATTTAGGTTCTAAAACTTTTAAAAGTGAAGTCTTATGCGGAAAATATTTAGTTTAGTTTTACACATCTCATGTTCAGGAAAAGTACAAGCGAAAAGAAAAAAAAAACTATCAAAATTCATAAATAGTGTTTACACAGTAAGATGGATATCTAAATAAAAAATAACAAAATTTTATTTGAGAGGAAGAGATGAAAAAATCTGATTTATATTAGTCTCCCCACCAATTTTTATTTTGTGTCCCCGCCCTGCTTATTGTCAGGAAAAAATAATAAGCATTTTTTTTGTGTAGGGGGTAGAATGAATAATAAAAGAAAACAAAAATTAAAGTTTTATATTCGATTATTTAATTTAACAGAAATGAAAAAGGGTTAACCGTTAATTAAATAATTTGGTCGTTAAATCCTGGGGAAAAGGGCAGATATTTTAATTAAAAATGTGAGTTTTCTAAAATTCAGAAAATTTAGTAAAAAAAAAGAAAGACTGATGAAGATGAGCCATTTTAAAATTGATAAAATAAAAATAAAATGCAGTATTTTTTTATTTTTTTTTTAAAGTTTAAACGATAATGACACTTTCTTCATCTGAATTTTTTTGTCAGGCTCATATGAAGTTGAAACAAGGACTAAAAACTATTTGTTAAAAGTTCTTGTTTTTAACTTTAATTTTTTTTATTTTTATCGAAACACTCAGTAGAGGTCGTTACATTCTACAACCGTTCAGTTAACATGAATATCGGAGAATTAAAAAAATGTAAAGAAGTATAGAGAAAATAATAGTAAACTGAAAAGTAAAACTAAAATGAAAAAAATGTATAGGTAAGGTAAGGTAAAACAGACTGTTAGTGTTAACATTAACAATAACATGTAAAAAAAATGTTACAAATGATTTTTTTTTAATTATTGCTATTTAAATTAAGAATGAATATATTAATTTTTTTTTCTAAGTCAGAAGCCGAAGATGATGTTTTTTTTTTTTTTTACAACTTTTTCTACCAAGTGGGAGAGCTTTAACAAGTCGTCTTTTCTACTTTTTCGATATCGATTTTTTACCCCCTGGGTTAGGGTTAGTGACAGTGCAGATGTATTGAAAGGTGTTTAAATAAATAATAATTTTCCTTACTGCTTTTTTTCTCTTTCTTAATGCTGTAGTCCAGTGTACCAACCACCATGCACATTTTTTGTTTAATTTCAACTTGTCTTTTGACACGAAACGATTGAACGTGTGAATGACGGTCATTTATTTCTGCTGACTTTAAAACTGAGTGTCAGTTATTGAAATTGAATTGAAGGAAATTCGTTATTCAAATGCAGTTGCTTGGAAATTAAGTCGATATGTCCATAAAAGAAAACCCTTATAAAAATATATGCTATCAATGATTCAGATTTTTACCAAGTAACACACTCTCTCTTTTTACATCAGAGTTCAAGTACAGAACAGTCTTTTTAAAAGGGGGTTTCCATTTACTTTTATAAATAAAATATATTTGCCTCTCTTTTTTCCCAAACATTAATGCCATGATTTGATTTTAAACTTTACTTTCCATTTGAAAAACAAAAAATACCCGAAGTAGACCAACCATCCAAGCTAAGACACATGTCAGTCAGTCTTTTACAAACTTCGGCCATTTATCGCCCAATGTCTTCATCCCACGCAAGATTGGTAAAAAAAAAATAAAATAAAATACTTTATTCAAATCATAGAAGCGAGAATTCGCAGACATAAATCATTACTTAGGGATTTAAAATATATTGAAAAAAAAGTTGTTAATTTCAAATTGTCTTCTAATAAGGAGAAAATTTCAACTTTTAAATTAAATTTTTGTTTCAATGAAACAATAAACAATTATTGATCTTTGGTCCGATTTATTTTTTAGGGAATAAATATATTATTCAAACTAATGAATAATAAATTAAATATAAATTTTGATGTCCGATGTATCCAGAGTTTGACTTTTTAGCCGATTACATTCAACTTTTTCTTTACTTTTTTTCGCTAATTTTTTAAATTCAACAAAAGTCAACAAAAAAAAAATATGAGCGTCACCATATTTTTTTTAACGTTTTCGATGTAATTGTAAAGTGTAAAAAACTAAAATTGTTAGTGGTATTTGTTGTTTTATCCCTTGTCCTTATATATATGATTGCAGTCATCAATAAAACCATTAAAAAAGTTCCTTCTTGGAACGAACCGCGTCATTAAAAGCTTTCTATTTTGTCTTTCGTTTACCCAACATCGATGCCATAGTTTCCAGACTCTCAATATTGTTTTTTAGTTACTTGTTAGCAATCATGGTCCTAAAAGAAAAGACAACTTAGTTGTCTTTTCGCAATTCATACTATTTTTTTAAACGAAAGATGTTAAGCTAAATAAATGAAATTATTTAATTTTCGGACAATTCCAAGTTGAAAGATAATTGAACAAACAAATAAGGCGAAGCAAATGAACAATTTAAATTAAATATTAATTTCAATACAGTTCAAGGCGTTTTACCATATTAAGAAATGTAAAAGATTATTTTCAAAAATGTCATCAAGTGTGTGTACAACTACTGTAGCTCCATGAATTTCATCTGCCATTGCAACATTGACAAACAAAATTTGGAATTTTTTTTTTTCAATGAAGTATTGTAAAGAAACTAACCTAACTATATAAAGGTTGGAGATTGTTTGGGAACAAACCAGTAGCATGAAATCAATACATTCCATTTGGGACCATGATAGTTAACTAGCACACTGACCCTAAAATAAATCATTACTTTTTTTTTTTTACACTGTACAGCACACTTTATTTACAAAGACTAACTTTTAAAGGAAAGTAACCTATTTGTAGGACTTAATATGTCTTACATTCTTAATTTCAAATAACTTCTCTTTTTAGCATAAGATTTGTTGAAATATAGCTGATTAAAAATAAAAAAAAGCAAAAGTGTAACATGTTAAAAAGTTGAGAAAACCCCTTTTCTTAGAAAAGAGATCAGCCTTAGCATAACAAATGTGACACAGATCTGAGATAAGACATAAACAACAACCAAAGAATGTCATTTTATCCACCCCGCTGATATTTCTTTCATCTTATTTTTGTTGCCTTTTATTGCAGCTCTCAGACTCATTCCGTAATCATTTAATTGCATGAATTTGTGTTTCTAAAATAGAGCTGCTTCTCTGTCTGTCACAGTCTATGTGTGACATGCACATAATGTACGTCTGTGCTGTTTATCTGTTTGTACTATTTATACCCAAGCACCCACACACAGACTTACATTCACAATTTGACTGAGTTTGAAATAAGACATTAGAATTATACAATCTTCTTCTACTCAGTCTGGATAACCACTACCCTAGGCTGAGTAATAAAACCATAAAGTTGGAGATTAAAAAAAAATACTATTTTTTAAACACTAAAAAATCAAGTAATTATAAAATTTTATTGAACTTTCAGAAC